TTACTTTTTCTCCATCATCTTTTTTTTTTTTTTTTTGGTACCAGTGATCGAACTTGGGACCTTGCACTTGCAAGGCAGGCGCCGGAACCACTGAGCTAAATCCCCAGCCCTCTCCTAAGAATTTCAATGCTGGCTCTAACACCCCAAGTACAATTACTATTATATTTCACTGTAGTCAGAGTTAGCAATCCACATAAATGATTACCTTGTAGAACTGGAAGGCATTCTTTCCTAGATTTCTCTAAGAAGTAGGTGATGTTCTGAGATCCTTCAAAAACTCCTTGGATGTGTAGTCAGATGTGTCTGAGCCTCCCCATCTGACTGATACAGGCAGACTCATTAAAGGGTACTCTGAGAATAGGGAGGTGTCGGGGATTTAGCCCAATGGTGCTGCCACCTGCTTCACAAGCACAAGATCCCGAGTTCGATCCCCGGTACCAAAAAAAAAAAAAGAGAGAGAGAGTAGGAGAATAGGGAGGAAAAGAATAGACCCTAGAGCAGTGACGGCGAACCTCCTAGAGACCGAGTGTCAAACTGCTACCTAAAACCCACTTATTTATCACAGAGTGCACACACTACAATTAAATCTCAATACTGAATTTTTAGTTTAGAAAACAACTCTACATTAACATCTTTTGTTGGCTGGGGATTTAGCTCAGTGGTTCCACTGCTTGCCTTGAAAGCACAAGGTCTGGTGTTCAATCCCCAGTACCAAAAAAACCCCGTCTTTTGTCTTAAGAAAAAAACACATTAACACTAGTGCAGTAGGTTCACCTCCACTGCCCTAAACCCTAATCTGATCCCTCTCTCCCTTCTCCTGAGGCTTCTCTCTAAACTCTTGAGGCCAGGACAGCCCTGTCTCACTTAGGAAACATGACACTCAGCCTCCACAGCTAAAGGAAGGATGTTGTCTTGTCTGAGTTGAGCTGGGCAGAGAATCTGGTAAACAGATGGATTCAAATTCTTAAATCTAATATGAGTCAGTGTGTCAGGGAAGAAACATTACTTGAGAAACTACAAAGACCAAGCATTCTTCTAGGTGACTCAAAATGCAGCAGACAAGCAGTTCACAAAGGGTGGTCCAAGACCACCCCCAAGGGCCTGCCTGTTCCAGGTAAACACCTGCAGGAGGCCTGCTTTAGACACAGGATTTAGAAAGATCATGCTGGCTGCTGTACGGAAGATAGGCAAAGAATAAACAAAATGAAAAGTGAGCTTGCTGGCAAGCTGCAAGAGAACGAAGCAGCAAAGACTGGGTTCAATCCCCAGGACAAAAGCAAACAAATGGGGGTGGGGGGTGGGGGGTGGGCGGGGATTTAGCTCAGTGGTTTCCCCGCCTGCTGTGCAAGCCCAAGGACTCGACACAGGATTTAGAAAGATCATGCTGGCTGCTG